ATATAGCGCAAAGTGGAAGCAAATCGAATTCAATCTGGGTAAAATACCACCTCCTGCAAAATTGGGGTGTAAAATCTTAACAGATAGTAAAGAGGAGGGAACTATCCTGGGCGAAAAAAAAAATGGTACGAGGTCGTTAAGAAAAACAAAATTGAAGGTGATATTAAATTGTTAATATGGCCATCTCAAATGCCCAGTTTTGGCCCAAGTGGGTCAGATGATTTATGATTTACATTTAACAGGTAGATGGAGAGGGGAATTACGGCAATATGTACACTCACTGAAGGGAAAATATTTAAATCATTTTAAAAAGTTAAAGAAGAATTAAATCTTGAAAACAGAGACCTATATCGCTACCTACAATTGCGTCACTTTTACGAAAAAAAGGTGAACAGGGACCTATTAGAAGGAATTAGTGAGGTGATTATACTCTTGACACGTGCATATGGTGGAACTCCCTCAAAAATTGTATCAAAGTTGTACAATAGTCTCCAAAAATGCGATGGCAGAAATTCATTCTATGTTAAAAAAAAGTGGGAACGAGAATTCAACATTACATTAACTGGGAGTGACTGGTCCTCCATGTGCAAAACACAACAATCTTCAACCAGCTCAAGAAGATGGCGAGAATTTGGATGGAAAAATCTAATTCGTTTTTTTATCACCCCATATATAAAATCTAAACAACTTAGTCAACAACAGAAATGCTGGAGAGGGTGTGGACATGTAGATCCCAATCACTCCCATATCTTTTGGTCATGCATTAAACTGCAGTTATTCTGGAACAGTGTCATTCAGACAGTAGAGGAAATGTTATGCTTATCTATACCCCAAGATCCGAGCTTTGTATACCTAGGACTTATGGCATATGAAGTCATTGGAAAAAAAGACATTTACCTCTGCAAAATATTACTGATTGCTGCCAAAAAGGCATTGACAAGGAATTGGTTGAAAAGTGACCCACATGGGCATGGACAATGGCTGAATATTGTAGACGAAATATAAGCCATGGAAAATTTGACTTTTCGTCTAAGCCTTAAAGAAGGAGACTTTGAGAAAAAATGGCAGAAGTTGTCTATGTTCAAGGTCAAAACCCAACCATAAGAGGAAAAAAAAAAAAAAAAAAAAAACTTTGGAAAATATGGTAATGTATGCTCCCCCCAGCTTGTTTTTTGTTTTTTCTTCTTGTTTTTTCTTTTGTTTTTGTATTATAAAAAAGACTAAATAAAGAGTTGAAAAAAAAAAAAAGAATGAACATGACTCAAAGTTGTTTTTTTATTCTCGGAAATGATAGGTCTTTTTTGAACAGCAGTAATTAAGACATTCTTGAGAAAAAGCATGTTTTATTGTATTATATTTGTTCTACATCATGTCAACCAAAAGTGCTGAAAATGTTAGACCTCTAGCTATAACAGTTCCAGAACTGATGGGATTGGAACTTTTGGTGTCAGCTTGGAGCTGCGCACAATGGCTCCACCTGCTGGTAAAAATTTTACCTGTGGAATTTTATGCAAAACCCACCGGGTCGACCATCCTTTTTCAGCCTTTATCATCCAGCTGACGATGAACCTCCACCCTACCTCAAATACTTTTATCCACCTTTTACTGGTTTTCTTCAGAGATTTCCCTATTTAGCTGTATCCATCTCTGAGTAGCTTCCCTTTCATTAGTAAATGCCCCGTCATGCACATTATGACACTGCCATGGTAAACATAATATATTCATGGTGATATGCGGCGACAGCTTTCCAACACAACATATTTTTATGAATGCCAAAGAGTTCCAGAGCACCTTGTTCAACATGTTTGTTGTATTTGCTACATGTCAAGTAGAAAACTAAATGGAGCTTTATGTCTTTATTTCAGTAAAGGCCTTCTCACTATTTATCAGAGCTCTCTCAAAGCACACATTAATCTGAGCACTGAATCTCTGCAGCTCCTATGGATAATGCTTCTTGGCTTCTTTGCTAGCAAATGCTCAAGTTTCATATATTGCTGAATGTCTTTTATTATTATTTAAGTGGTAGCACAGCTAAGAGCTTAATACAAATGCTCACACATCTCACACACTTTCATTGGTAGCATTTTTAGAACCCTATGCGTCTTTTTATGTTCATCTCAGATTTTTAAATAAGTTTTTTTTTTTATTGGTCTGTCAAATCATTGCTAAAAGGGAGAAACACACAAAGACTTTTTCCAGAAGTAGCCTGAGCAGGGTTTTAACACCAAATTGTGGGCCCTGTACACAGTCAGTGCCAATTGGCCTCCATTTGTGCCAGTGCCTGAAGCATAGGGTTTTAATATATTGTAGAATGTTTCTTTTATTCACCAGCTGAATGCATCTGACATTTTTGTGCTTATACCCATCCCTAGATACATCCTAGTTAACATTAGCGCAGGCTGATGCTCTTTTAGGGCAGACTGCTAGTAGATGTCCACGCAATTGCTGCAAGTACCTTCATGTTGCCTCAATGACCTCACCTTGTTTCACATCCTCAGGCTCACACCCGCCCTTGACTTCAGCATCTGGTGCAGAACTATAATTAATAACTGGTGCAGAACTAATTTTCCAGCAAGAAAAAATAATTGGTATTAGATTCTTAACATACAAATAACCCTGCTTTTTAGAGCAAGCTCACTTTGTATTTCTAGAGGCATGTCAGTACAAGAGCAACTGCTAAATTTAATAAAACATATGGTCTAAAATGTATTCATAATGTTGATTGTTTATGTTTAAAATTCGGTAAATTTTTGTTTTGGTAGGGGCAGAAATTTAAGGGTGTCAACCATGCAGTCATATCATTAAGCATCCACAAGAGGACACTTGCTCTTCCTTGAATACCTAAACATTGATCTTGCCTTGTCTTTGCTGAAGAGCCTCCAGGACTGGCCACCACTGCTCCAGCTGCTACATCTGATCTAGCACCAGTATTAGTTTCTGAACCTGGTTAATGTTAACAACAAAGGTTAGCTGGCCCATAATTGTCTGCATAGTTACAGCAGCAAGTAGCCTGGTTGGCAACAAGCTAAGCTAAATAGCTGCTTGAGGTGAGAATATGACAGCAGCAGCTCTCTGGAGTGAATTTTAATTTGACTTTGCATAACAGGCAAACTGGGTTCGCCTTTGGAAAAGAAAGCAGTCATTAGCTGCCTCCCCTCTTTCTGTTTCTGTATTTTTCTTTCTTGTTCTTTTGATGCCTTGATTTATTCCTTTGGGCAACATGGATGTCTAGCCTCCAGGTCATTCAGTCTTGTCTCACTGACATTATTCTTTTCACCATTGTTTGACTGAACGGTTTAAACCATTTTGCACTTTCAAGTTGGGCTTTCAGAACGGGTTTGGTGGACTGTGACATTAAGTGTGTTCTCTCAGTTGGTGTAATCTATATATACATTTTAAATACATTTTGACACCAGTTAATTCTAGGGCCAGATTTATTCAAAATAAAAACTAAAAAAAAAATGTTTTTCATTAGCCTCCTTTCCTAGGTGGGCCCTGGGTATTCAGGACCACTTTTCCCCCTCACTTCCATGGCCATAAACTGTACGAGTTTTGTTTTCTTGCCCTGTTCGGTGTGATTTTCCAGTCGTGCAAGAATTTTCTGTTGGGGTTGACTTTCAGCCTGATCGTGCGTTGTGTAGTGTGCAGGGGGTAATGAGGAGCAATCAGCCTCCCACGGCCACCTCCCCATCAGGAATCGTGAGGTCTGCTTGTCTGTCTGTCTGTCTGTCTGTCTGTCTGTCTGTCTGTCTGTCTGTCTGTCTGTCTGTCTGTCTGTCTATCTATGTATGTATTGCTTAAAAAAGAAGCATCACAAATTAGAAAAATATGAACTTTGTGTTTTCCATGTTTTCATTATCTTCTTTTTTCAGATGTTATAGTGAAATGTTAGCAATGACTAAATATGGTTCTACTAAGAATTATTTGGGGTGCAATCTCAAAGGGGAAACTAAATCATTAGATTTTATGATATTACGCCAGACGTAAGGAAGGAGGCCGAGGACTAATGTGCGTAAGAGCCACTATACACGATGAAACATCCAAGATCCATAAGTACATAAAGGACAAGGCTCCAACAGACGGCATCCTCTGTCAATGTCTCAGACAATGGGAAACAGAAGATGAGGTGCCAGAGACTCCATCATGGGAGGATAAGCCCCTAAATGTGATGTGCAACCAAAACATATTCGAAGTGGCAGATATCAGGAAATCCTACCAATGGCTAGACAGAGTTGTACTGAAGGACAGCACTGAGGCAATCATCATTTTAGAAAGACTTGAATATTTTGTTAGAAATTAACTAAATTTGTAATTAGTTAATTGAAACTTTTATGACAGAATGACATGAATGAAAAAAACATTTCACAAAAAAACATTTCACAGCTGAAACTGTTTTTTTGTTGTTGTTGTTGTTTTCCATTCTATCTTTTCTGCCTATTCCGTTGGGGGCAGTGCCTATCTCTGGCACTCTATGGGCGAGAACGGTACACTGTTCACAGGTTGCCAGCCGGTCACAGAGCAACATAGAGACACTCAAAGACCTACAACCTTGCACACACACACACACACACACACACACACACACACACACACACACACACACACACACACACACACACACACACACACACACACACACACACACACACGCACACACAGCTAAGAACAATTTAGAGATGCCAATTAACCTAACAGTCAAGTTTTTGGATTATGTGAAGAAGCTAGAGTACAAAGAGTAAACCCACGCATGCACAGGGGAACATGCAAACTCCATGGAGAAAAACCCCAGGTGCCACCACGCAGGCCCCAGCTTGGCATGTGGTGTATCACTGTGGTCAATATGGCACGTTTTTTGATGAAGACAAAATGCTTGATCCAGCTGTCCATTTAAGTCCATTTTATTTTTAAGTGATCAGGAATTTTTCTTAAAATAATGCCAACATGTAAAACATCTTTAAACAGAAGACTTTATTATTTAATTAAATTTAAGGCTTGTTTTTAATTGGATGTAATTTACAATCTTAGTTGTTTTCAGTGTGTGCACATACATTACCAAAAGGATCAGAAATATTATTACGATAATGCAGTTTTATTTGCAGGTAGATTAATTAATAAAAACAAACACAAACAAAAAGAAACTCATGTATACATTTCACAGTGGATGCAGAAGAACCCCACTGAATGTAGTGATGTGGCTGTTCCCAAAGTAATGAGTGGTAGCAAGCAGCCGCATATAAACATGGTCTCCTTGCTGCAGTTGCAGAAATGCTGCATTTCCACCATTATCAGACCCATCGTAAGATGACTTAAGATCATAGGCAGTCACAATAAGTTCGTTGTTCTTCATGAGGGCTAGACTTACAGGTTGGTTTCCTCCAGCATGATAAAAGAAGGTAAAGTAATATATGCCTGCAACAGGTGCAACAAAAATACCTGGAAGAAACCACATATAAGTTTAATAGATATTGTTAACATTTTAAATGCCAGTTTGAAAAACTGTTACATTGTTCTTACTATGAATATGTGACGTGGAAAACAACATGGACAGAATGTTGTTTTCAATTAGAATTGAAATACTATATTTGGATAGCTTGTGTTAAAAATATAATCATCATCACCACCTATATTTGATACTGTAGCAATGGAGTTTTATCTATAAACTTAACTAATCTCTTAGGCACTTCAGCATTCTCCAGGTAAGACTCTCTCTCAACTGGGCTGTTGTTTTACAAATAGAGACCATGATATTTACAAAACAGACAATGAATTACATTGAATATTTTTGCAAATCAATGCATAATTTTTGGGGGGGGGGCGGGGGGGTGGGGGGGTGGGGGGGGGGTAGCCTAGTGGGTTAGAGCAGAGCTTGTGCTCTGAAAAGGTTGCAAGAACCCAGTTCAAATCCCACTGCCTACACTCTGGTTTCCTGAGCAAGACCTTTAACCACCAATTGCTCCATTCACAATGGCAGCCCACTGCTCCCCAAGGGGATGTGTTAAATGCAGAGGTATATTTCTCCAATGTGAGATCAATAAAATAAAATTATTATTATTAGTTTGCAGTGATTAACCAGTTTATGACTTTGGTACATTTGATAGCATGTTTAATATCAGTAGTATTAGAGTTTTGTTTCAGTGTTTGGAATGTTAGTTAAAAAGGTAATTAGTTATGGTTTCAGTAACTACCTCTTCAAGAAAGTAACTGAGTTAGTAGCACAGTTACTGCGCAAAGTAACTACTTACTACTCAAAGTTACAAAGTTTTTACATTTTAAAATGTCAAAGAATTTGAAAACCTGACTGTTGTCATGATTTCAATTATAACTGGAAGTTCAATTATGAAATCAATTAGTCTTATATTAATAAAGGAATTAAATAATTTATTAAAAAGATTATATAGCTGAAAACATTGGACCTACATTTAGATCTAGATGAGGCCCTTGCTAATAAAACCTACGAACATATTAATAGATGTAAAACTCCTAATTGACTGCAGAGACAAACTCTACCCCATTAAACATTAATTCATAAAAGAGCAAGAATTCTGTATTAGTCCTCTTTGATTGTAGTACATTGTTTTGAATAATTAATTGCTGCATTTGTTAGTAGTTTATATGTCAAATACTAACTTTAAAAAATGTAAATGTAAGACATTCTACATGATGGTGTCACGAATGCCATCAAAAAACTGCTTGCATGGTGTAGAGGTGGAGAAGTACATTTCTAAGAAGAACAAATAAACTGGTCCTTTAAACCAATCAGTGTCACATATGTGTATTTCAGCAACCTGCTGGTGGTTCTGCAGTAAAAATCTCTTCCTGCTGCAGAGAGAGGGCAGCTTTGATTAAATGCATATAAGTAAAGTGCTGCTTTAGTTTGCAAGTAGCTTAAAGGCATTACCAATATATGAACACCAATAGCAGCTCGGCTACTAATGCCATTAAATATGTGCTGCAATTCCTCCCAACACAGATTGTTTAAATAAAAACTCTAAAAATGGTTTTATTCTCAATATTGTTTACCTGGTTAAATAAATTGTGCTAAAAAAAAACAAAAAAAAGGAATAAATTTATTGACAATAATGACATACTATACGCTAGGTACCTGAAATGACGTGCAAGTTTTTTTTTTCACAATTTATTTCTAGCGATATATTTCTAGTTATTTTGTCACTTACTAAAGTTGGACAGCTCTATACCAAAAACTCGAGTGATATTTTTTAAGCAGCACTAATAGGTTTATTGACCAAAGGAAATAAATAAAACTTATCCATAGGTATTCGGATCAAGAAAAATCTATAGGCCTACATGTATTTCTAGTACTTTTATTTAGAAATGTAGGTAGAATGTGTTAAGACTTAATTTGCCTTTGTTTCATCTCAAACCATTCTTCATAATTAGACCCCTTTTATGTCATTATGCCAAAATCCTTAGAAGGCTAAGCAATTGGACTGAAACTTCCCTCCTGTCAATCAAAGCCATAAAGGGTTGATACTCTGGCACAAAAATCAGGATTCCAAAACTAGGGCAGGCCGATGGGGACTTCTTATTATCCCTACTAACTCCTCCACTAAAGTGGTGATTCTATGAAAAAGAATTAAAAGTAGAAATATAATCTAAAAAAATACATCCTTACAAATATAAATTGACTCACCTGTGTTCTGATTATAGGCATTGCCCACATTTGTTATCACTTTTCTGTAGATTATGGTTGTATGTGTGGTGAAAGGCCCACATGCTCCATTTCCACCTGTTGCAGCGCTGAATGCGACCTTTTGTGCTTCTTCAATAGAAATGAAAAAACTGCAAAACTGCATCTATTCAAAAATACATTGTTGATAAATTCAGAAAGAACTTTACCTTTCTTCTTCAGCTCCAGAACCAGACTTTCATTCTCATTCAGCCTTGTTTCGAGAGCTTCTTGCTTCTCATTCATATTTGTTTCCATAGCTTTTAGTTTCTCTTTCATGGCCTTAAATTCTTTAAGGAGCTTGCACATGTTAGGAAAGCAGGACTTTATATCAGTGGTTACTTGTGATTCACCTAACTCATCCTCAGCCAAAGTTAAACCACAAAACCACACTAACAACCACACTCTGAAATTCATCCTGGTTCTCTTACAGTGCCTCCAGAACTCTAATTGACCTGATGTGTTGTTTCCCGTTTTATATAGTTTTACAATGTCTGGTTAATGTTTAACTTGAGAGAAAAGTATCAAAAGTATACAAACAAAAAACACAAAAATTATCAAGGCAGGAGCAAAAAGATAGAAGAAATGGCCCCATATTTAACCTAATCTTTGCCCTAACTAGAAATGGTTTACTCTCAAAACCAGCATCTATTAACCATAATTATTATAGAGAAGCTGTACAGACTTTGTGGCTGTTTTGTTTTGATAAGAGCTAATGTTTCTATTCATTAAATAGACAGCAAAGACAGCATAGACAGTTTTTTCTTTTCTGCAATTTTACTATGAAATGTTTAGGTGTGAAAGATTCTGTTTAGGTAACTGAAGTTTTCTAGAAGAAGTTTTGCCTCTCATCCAAGAAGCTTCTTCAGTTCTAGTGGTAGGGTGCACTGACGTTAATATACTGTAGGTGTAACAATTAATAAAAACAATTTTGTAACAATTTTTTTTTTCTCTCGATTGACTATGTATATATGTGGTTATGCCAATGAAGATTCTCAGTCATTCAGGTCCTAGTCATTCCAAAAAAATGTATTGAAAAAAACAATCCACTGGACTTTGTTACCAAGTTTGACAAAATGTTCGCTTCCCATCTAGGAAGCTTTTTCGATTCAAAACTCAGAATTAGTGTTAAGTTCGAGGCTTTACAGACTGGACCAAAACAAAGCCTTGTTATGGCCTAGAAAACATACAAATTGAACCGGACAAGCGGGTTGAAGAGCATCAAAGATGCTCTCCAAACCTGTAGATACCCAAACTGGGTGTTTGTCAAATCAACAAGGAAATACAAAGAACATGCAGCTGAACATAATGTTGAGAAAAGACAGCAAGATAGGGTGGACACAAAAACATGTTCCCTGAAAAAGGATTTTCTCCAAGCACAAAATCCTGGTACATTTCAAACCAAAAAAGACCTTTAAACAGAGACTAGTGGATCCTTAAGACAAAATGCCTAGACCAAATGAGCAAAGTGGTGTATGAAGTTTAATGCATTGAGGAATGGTCTGATCTTTATATCGAAGAAACCAAACAGACTCTCCACAGATGCATGGCCCAACACAAAAGAGATACGACCTTCTCCCCCTATTTACGTCTTATGGACAAAGGACATGCTTTTGAGGAACAGAATGTTCACATTTTGGACAAAAAAAACAGGTGGTTTGAGAGGGGTGTGAAGGAAGCCATTTATGTTAAGAAAGAAAAACCAACCTTAAATAGAGTGGGGTGGACTCAGGTGTCCGCTTTCAAAAACCTACAATGCAGCAATAGAGTTCATTCCTCAGTTCATCAGATATTACAGGCTAACGCACTGCATGAAAAGTGAGATTTTCGTCCCCGTAAACCCCCGTAAACTCCCGCAGATCTGCCTGATTTTCGTCAGTTTCCGACAATTTGCAACCCGTGCTTGTCCGCGTTTGTCGTGCCACAAATTGTCGGAAACGGACTCTGACGTATGTGGAGAGCGATCAGCTGTACTAATGGCCCTAATTAGCATATGAATGCAGCAAACCCGCGCGGCTGGCCAGGTCTGGCTTGAATAACCTACTCAGTATTGGCTGAAACCACTATTCTCAAACAAATGAAATCGCTCGTGATTGGCAGCAAAACCACACGTGGCCACGCCAGGCTTTAAGTTTCTTACTGAGTATTGGACGGAACCACTTCTTTTTAAACAAGTAAAGTTGCTCGTGATTGGTTGGCATATATATATATTTACATATAAATTTACATATATATATATATATATATATATATATATATATATATATATATATATATATTTATTCATTCATATATTTATTCATTCATATGGTGTGTATTTATGTTATCCTACACTACTACACAATTATTATGCTACCATGAAGGACATGAATGAATTTATACAGGAAATGAACATTTGCAGGAAGCTGTTTATGCAAAGAAAGAGCTTTATTGAAACACACACACACACACAACTATATACAACGTGTATCCAAACACATGCGTTTCTAAAAATTAAAAGTCCGTGAACGGTCCGTTTGCTTCCTCGGGGTTGGAGGTAACTGGCAGCATTCCCTCCGAGGCAGGTCCGATGTGCAGACGCCTACTGTGCGCGGCCCTGTACTTCGGCATCGCTTCTAACCGGGACTGCAGCTTAACACATAGTTCAGTGAGATCCGGCCTACGAAATGGCGGCGACCGTACAATTAGGGTGGCCAGATGTCCGGCTTTAGGGCGGACAGTCCGGATTTTCATTGCACTGTCCGGCGTCCGGCGCTGCACCCAGCCGGACGTGTATTTGTCCTCTTTTACCCCCAGATTCCATATACTCTGTCAGCGCTCCGCCCCGCTCACGTACGGAGTCCTTGTCTGTCATGTAAATCAATGAGAGCTGTTCCACATCCTCCGCTCGTCACCGCCCACGTACGTCTTCTCCGTCCTTCACCATCAAAATACGGAGCTGAGCTATTTTTTGCTCCCCTCCGGTCCGTCCAGATCAAGACCCACTATTGCAATCGCACCAAACAGGAAAAAGAATGTAGAGAAGACCCGGTTTGTCAAATTAAATTATAGTAAAAACAGATCGGTATCTAGAAATTAGAGCATAGTTTGTATATATTCCCAAAAACTAAGAGCAATTAATTAAATAATTGGATGCAGACTATTGGTGCTTCAACAGACCAGGAAGAAGTTGTGAGATTCTAGAGTGAATCTCACAACTTTAAAAGAAAATTCTTATTGCAGGAATGGATGAAGAGATGATGAGTTTGGAAGCAGAGAATAAACAGAGTTCATAAAAACTATGCATGATCCTAGTTATCCCTGTTACAAAAATCTACAACAGAAAGAAAATATTTGGGCAGAAACTGAACATCTGCTGGATGATGATGGGGATTTTTTTAATATGTGTGATTAAATTAAGCGTTCACAGGTTTTATACAGGAATGAGGAACTCTAATTTAATGCTCTTTTAATGCTATTAGAAATAATTTTAATGCCATCAACAAGTATCATGTACACAAGTTATTAGTCTACATGAAATAAGGAGCTGTAAGCACAGTTCCATGACTCAAGTTTATATATATATAGATATATATATATATATATATATATAGATATATATATATATCTATATATATATAGATATGGATAGATAGAGAACATGGTGAAATCATCTTTACTCTCGACAGGCTGCAGCCATGTCATGAATTCCTCTTTTCCAGCCACTTTTTGCAGTTTGCATCGTCCTATTCTCTAGCTCTTTCTCGAGCTTCTTTTCCAAACAACTGCTTTATGATCAATTGCAGCAGTTCTGCGCAAATTAATCGTGTTAAAAAATGGTCACTTTTTAAATGTATTAAATAAATACAATTGCTGGGAACCAATTCTTTTTTACATTTCTTTAATATTTTGTTCTATTCAGCTACACAAGCATCCTCTTTAAACTACTAAGAATTGTGCTATAAATGTGACTTTAACCGATTCTTATGTACACCTTAGTAATTTATTGATATGCCGCACAATGTCCTCCTTTTTGGTGCTATAGAAATGGCCACCCTACGTACAATCCATCCAGAGACACCGCCGATGACGGCGGACTTCCAGAGTTCCACTTCCTCATCTGCTAGCACACTCTGCCTCGCTTTCAGCAGCTGAAAAAAAGCAATGAATCAGCGCACTGCGTATGGACACAACACATCTATTAATGCACCTGAAAAATAGTCACCAAATAAAGTCTTACCCTCTTTCTTCTGGCCCGACTCCGAGCAGATTGCCTCCGCACGCAGCGTGTTGGCTGGCTGCGTATATCTGAAGCTCCTGCGTACCGTCTGAAAATACGTCTTACAGGCAGCTGGAAAACAATTAAATGAGAGTGGTATAAATAAAAAATCGAACGCAAGTCACAGTAACAAGGAAGGAGAAAACATTAAAACAAGTCACTTACACACAATGTCGTCTTTATCAACATCGTGCAAATCTGGACTTGCTGATATGGCTCCTAGCAAATAGGAGGTCACCGCCTCATTGTGAGGCGACAGTAGTCTGTGAAAACAAAATGATGCTATGCTTTGATCGGTATCCATCCGTATCCATTGCCTTTTAACACAGAATGAAAGCATATTCTTTAAATCTTACCCTTGCTCCGGTTCATAGCGCCTGCAATTAGTCTCCGAGTTGTGAAGACGGCGTACTGCTTCCTGTGAATCACAAAAAATACACTTTAATAAAGCTTGTTCTTGCAAGGCTACTATTAGCAGTAGCTTTAGGCTAGGCTGCTATTAGCCGTAGCTTAGGCCAGGTTGCTTTTAGCCTAGCAGGCAGTAATCGAACATATATTTACCGCTAGCATCTCTTCTTTGAGTTCGTCTTGTTCGATGCAGAGTGGCCATCGCGTCCAAGAGGAGTTTTACCCCGAAATCCAGACGCTCCAGACCGCCTGCACAAAGCAAAGCATACATCCTCCACTGTGGCTGCACACCGTGCCGCTCTAAGTTTCTTGGAGATCGTAAAGAGCATGCGCGAGATGAACCAGGGTTTCTGCGGATCAATGAAAATAATTAAAAAATCATTAATTTTTTTTTTAAATCAAGGCCTTAATTGGCACTAAAATTATTTAAATATGTTTATGGAAGTATTTATAATTCTTTAATAAAAATGCTTATAAAAACAATTTCGTCAGATATATTATATCGCTCCAGGCGGAGAAAAAGCTAGAGGATATATATATACGTATATATGTGTGTGTGTGTGTGTTTACATACATACAGGAGTCATGGAACTCTGCTTACAGCTCCTTCATATTTCATGTACACTAATAACTTGTGTACATGGTTCTTGTTGATGGCATTAAAATCATTTCAAATAGCATTAAATTAGAGTCACTCATTCCTGTATGAACCCTGTGAGCGCTTAATTTAATATGACATATTAAAAAAATCCCACCATCATCCAGC